GGTTCACAAACTATTTCATTGCACTTGCTGTCATATTTTGCTGTTGCGTTCTGGCATCTAAAATATAGGAAAGTAGGAGAAGCCGGTGGAATAATACTGTAGTATTTTACACTGGGCATTGAAGGGAAGCAGTGAACAAGATGGGAAGCTGTTTTTATAGGGTTTGTGTGCTTTATATTCCTGGGTCAGTTTGATGAAGGACAGTTTATTGCCTCCTTTGTTCACCTGCACTGTTTTAGTATCTCTTGCAATCCTGGCTTGAGTATCTGTATGTTTTTGCGACGCAGCGTTAATAAAACACAAATGTTAGCTTGTGCAATCTAATCTTGCACGTGCAGTAAAAAAAACAAAACAAAACTTGAAAACATTTGATTCTGCTGCCATGGCAATTTTTTCTGTTGGCAAACTATCGGTTGTAGGTTAACCAGAAGTGTGGAGTGTTTGAAAAGGGGAATTTAGTGACTTTGTTACTGCAAACTGAATTTTTGTTTGGCCTTGATTTTTGTCTCGGGTTCAGCTGGAGCTGATTGCTAGAGCCAGTTGCCAGTTCTTGATGAGATGGGAAATAATACACTATCATAGACAAAATGAGCAGAGTTCAAGGCAAAAATCAGTTTGGCAAACTTTTGTTTTTATAGAACATTTGCGAGAGGCTTCCGAAAGCTGGGAAGATGCATAGTTGTAGACAGAGAATGAAGCAGAGCAGTTATGATTTACTTAAAAACAAAAGAAAAAGACCACCTATGTTCCACAATAAAACAGAAGTAGGGGCATAGGTGGGTGTTAAGGTGTTGAGAACCAAAATCATGATCGTTGTCATAAACTTGAGTTTGGTCTTACAGTAGTCAAAGGCAGGCAGATGAGAAATGTTGATGATGCACCTCAAGGCTGCAGGAAATGAATTTTTCCTCAGTGTTGGGGTGCAGCGTTTTCAGCAACGTTTTCAAATTCAGGTGTAACTTTAGTAACAGTGAGATGTTTTGCATTTCATTCTTGGAAAATACAGCTGTTGGTAGCACTTCATAATGTCAATTAATGCTCGTTGTGAGGGTCACTTGGAACTATACGTGATTCTGTAACTGCTGTCTAAGAACTTAAATTAACTAGAGAGTTTTCTTTTTGCCCTAAAAAAAACCCTGTTTTAATTTATAGGATGTTGATGAAATCAGTTCTTCTGCAACCTGCGAGTCAGATGATTGTGTTGTTCTTTCAAGCCAGTCTCCACGCAAGGTGAATAAAGGAGGTAAGTTTGGTCATACGTGTCTGGGACTGTGACCTTTGTTGCTGTAGGAAAACAAGGCAGAAGAGACTTTGACAATCTCTTTGGTTACCTGCTTTTCCTCAGCAGGATCAACTCTGCTGAATTCCCATCTTGTCCTATCGTTCAGTGTTTAAATAACCTGGACAGTGATGCTGGAGATTCTGCTGTCTCCCTGGCAAATCAGTTTTAATGTTATGCAGTATGTAAATTGTTTTTATCCTGCTGTCTAACCCATCTTTCCTCTTTGCTTTACTGCATAGCCCATTCCCAGTAAGATTTGGAAAATGCTGTATTTGAATCCTATTATTAGCTTTTTTCACCATTCTTTTCTCCCTGGACTGTTACCCCGATTCTTTCGCTTTCTTTTTTAAATCTTGATTTTTAAGTATCTGACTTCATTTATTTGTCTTCTCCAGCCTGAGCCATGCCTTTGCTGGTAGAGTACTCCCAAACAGAACTCAACCTGAGCCTTGCCAGCACTAATTTGCAGGAGAGGAGTAATCCATACATTTCACGTGCAGTGAATGCACACATTTCCGCAGGAAACTTTGAGCTCGCGAGATGCCTTTGCTTTGAGGTAGACAGTAACTCAAGTGTTTCACATGTAGCTGCTGCCCAGAGGGTCGACCTCTATTTCTTATTTTGTCTCAGATTGTTGTTAAGTGTAGGGATTCCCCTTATCCTTATTTCAATCTATTTTTTCCTCACCATTTTCAATGCAAGAATGCTTTTAAAATTAAGCTCTTAATAGGTGTTATATAGGGGCATTTATCTACTAACTCATGAGCATATATTATTGTTTACTCCTGACTGAGGAAACTCCAGCTGATACTTTGCTTTGGCAGTGAATTATTAACAGTCATTATTTGAATATGACAATTTTTTTTCCCCCCCAGTCAATTTTGCCCCTTTTCTTATGGCTGGTTTACAGAAACCATATTTCCCTACTAAGGGAAGGGAATTGTCAGTTATGTATGAATTTTAGGACATTTATTATTTTTTCCTCTTGGGAATAACAAGTGATAATAAAATCTGTTGCTTAAATATTATTTTATTAAGGCAAAATAATGCGTTGGCCTTTACCTGCTGTCTCATCTTCCAAGTATGTACTAACATGTGCCGTATGTTTGCAGAAGTTGAGGTCATGTTATTTTATCCTAATTTCCTGGTTTCTCCATTTTTCCCTTTTAAAAACAGGCAGTGTTGCTATTCCAGCTGCAGCAGCGCTGGGTTAATTCAATTCTTGCTAGTGTGAAGAGGTCTAATTTACCTGAGAGTTCTCTTTACATCTTTCCCCAGCTGTGGAAGTTCATTTCTCCTTTGTGTCTTAATTGCCCTAAGGCTCTCATCACAATTAATTCTTTCAGTGATGACTGAAATAAAAAGGCACTAAATGTTTTGTCGTTTTTTGTTGTAGTTTGTCATCTGGTTTTAGTGTTTCCTTCTCTTTTGGCAGCAGAATCCTTCTGGGTTTTCCCCTTGCTGTTACAGGATGCTTTCCTGGTGCTGTGACCTTCCCAGGTTGAGCTTATTTTGCAATTTGGGATTCCTGCTTTCAGTCCTTCGTGTTGCTGCTCTGCTTTCCCCTGATTTCTATTCCCTTTGTGATTCCTTGAGTTTCCAGTGAGAGGAAAAAGTCATGATTTAGCCGTGTTTGTGTCTCACTCCACTTCTTCCTGGCACATCTGGTCTTAATCTTTTTCTTGAAGAAATTGCCAGC